CAGCCCTCCCAGGTCTGTGGCATAGTGTTCCCAGGAGAACGGTGGAGGACTCAGGAGCTGAGAGACCCGACCCAGCTTGGGCTCCCTGTGGGTGAATGAACCGAACCTCTCCCTGGTGGGGTACAGTTTGAAATCTGGGACCCAGAGGTCGGACCTGCAGACCAGATCCCGTGCCCAGTCTAGCATTGCCCAGGGCACAGAAGGGATATTTGGAACAGCTACTGATGTGTGTCCAGGGCAATCACGTCTTAGAGGCCAACCCTCCCACAAAAGGAGGCTGTGCGCCCAGCCAGCAGCGTTTCTGCCAGGAACCTCCCCGCGCATCACAATCCGGGGAGGCTGGGCGTGTGGTCTGGCCTGCTGGCAAGAGCCCGGGAGTAGCTGCGGAGTTGGGGAGTGGAAAGAAGCGAAGGCCCGCTCCAGACTGCGGGTCTCAGACAGCCCTACCCCCACACCCAACTTTCTGGCTGAGCCGGATCATTCCAGCCCCGCCCTTGACAGCTTTTCTGAGAAAGAACAGCAACTTGACCCCTGCCTAACAGCATGGTGGTGCGCTAAGGCAGGCATTACCCAAACCCAGCTCACCAGAACAAGAGCTGATAACAGACACAAAACACACAGCACAGCCTGTTCCTCCAAGCAAGCACACCTACTGACAGGCCGGCATCTGCACAGCCTTTTCATGAGCACCCACTGACTACGTGTATACCAGAAGTGGTCCGAATCTATGCACGACACCACCTAAACGCTCAGAAAACTAAACCCAAGGTGTGAATACCCAAACAAAAACCTAAAGAAGAACCACAACTGATCTACATGGGAAGAATCAGCTGAAGGAACTCGAGGAAATATGAGAACCAAACGGAAAACACAGCACCAAAAGAGGAGACACCAAAGCTCCCTAGGAACGACACCAACCACACAGGCACCAAATGAAGAACAGGAATTTCAGATGTGATCATTAAAGAACACTCACCGAGCTGACAACAACTCATCAAACACACAAAAACACAAAAAGCCTCCAGAGTGGAAAGAAATGGACACAATGAAAGAAAAGTTAACGCAACTCCTGGAAATGAAGATCAATTCAGGGACTCAAAATACAGTGGGAACGAGTCTCAAGAACAGGTAAGATCAAACAGAATAGAAGAATCTCAGAGATGTAAGATAAACCCCCACTAAATAAAACCATCCCCACAGAGATAAAGCAGAGAACAAGAGAAAAGAGAGTCCTACAAAGATGTGGATATTGAAGAACTAATGGGAGGGCATAGGGTTACCCGAAGGGGAAAGAGACAACACCCAAGGGTTGGACAGCGCTATTTGAAATATAATAGAGAAAATTTCCAGCCTTGCTCAAAATCTCAATTACAAGTTCACGAAGCTCAGAGGAACACCCTGGGAGATTGATGCAAACAGGAGAGTCACATCATGGCAAGTCATCATAAGACCTTAAACCAAAATATCAAACTAAGAGCCCTTCTAAGTAGCTGTAAGACAAAGAAGGCGAGTGAACATACAAGGAAAGGCCAATTCAATAACACCAGATTTCTCTAATGAGATCTTACAAGCAAGGAGAGACTGGGGCCCCATCTTCACTCTTCTGAACAAAACAATGCCACCCCCTAAGACTCTTTTTCCCTGCAAAACTAAGACCTTCTATATGAAGGCAGAAATAAAGACATTCTGCAGACAAGAGAGTCTCAGAGAATCACAAGACAGACCAGCCCTATAAGAACTACCAAAAAGCTTTACACATGGAAGCACCATAATAAAAACTCACAGAATAATAAAACGACCAAACCAAAATATTGACAAGCCAGGATAATACAATGGTTCAAGGAGGAAATCAAAGCATAACACATCAACAAAGAATGATCAGTAATCACTACCTATCCATTCTCTCAATAAATGTGAAGGCTAAACTTCCACTCAAGAGACAAGGCTGGCTGAATGGATAAGAAAATACATAGGCCAGTTATATGCTGTCTCAGAACACATCTAACCTGCGAAGATGCTATAGACCTGAAAAGTAAAAGGGTGGAGATCAGTTTCCAAGCAAGTGGAGCCAAGAAGCTGCGTGGCAGTTCTTAATTTCAGAGCGATTAGTTTTAAACAAAGAAAACTAGTGAAGACAAAGAGGGTCATTATTAATGGTGAAGGGCACACTCAAACAAAGAAGGATGATAACATTAAATTATATATGCACCCAACTTAGGTGCACCAGTTCTAAAGCACCTTACTGGACCTAAGCACAATGGTTAATAGCAACTCTATATCACCCGGAGATTTCACACTCCACTGACGCACAAGACAGATCTCCAAACGAAAATTAATAAAAATATATGCTTAAACAAAATCTGTAACAATTGGGTGCTGCTAATTCTACGACATTCTAGCCAAAATCCACTGACTATACTACTTTCTCATCCAGCTCACGGGACTCTCTAAGTGATCCATTTATCTTTTTTTTTATGATCAATAGTAATACCTTCATGTATTTAAATTTATTGATTTTATTTTACCATGGATTTTTCTCTAGTAGCACTTATGGTATTATTTATTGATGTGTAAAACCGTCATGATTTACTATTTTTTTCTTATACTAATAGTTGATATTCAAATAACCTTTCTTTTATTCTAATGTTCTATATATGAGTAATATATGGAATATATTTTTTCTCCTCTCTTGGGTTTATCTACTTTAGTCATTTATCTTTTGTGGTATATTATTGTCATTTTGTATGTATTACCTTTTAATTTATTCTATTATCATATTGTATATCTTTACATTTGATTTCATTCTTATCTCTTTGTCTTTTGTGGCTATATATTCCATATTTACTGATTTTCTCTCATTTTATTGACACTCTCCAATATATTCTGCATCTGTATGTTTATATGTCTTGTATCTTTTCTATATTTTTTGCTATATGTGTTCAGTCCATATCCATCTTATATCAAGATATTGAATTATTTTATTGTTTATGTATTGTTATACATGTATTATCTATTCAGCTTATAATAATATTTTTGTTGTCATTTATTCCTGTTATGTGCTTGTTTTATGATTTATTTTCATTATTATAAATCTATATCATCATTTCTCACAGCATAATGTTATTAATTTCTGATGGCTCTTATACTTAATTATTATCATGGTGTTGTGGTGGTTTGTATCAATTATATAATGAGTGAGATGTGCACCATCTGGGGGATGGTCATGATGGAGACTCAGACTTTTGGGGGGAGGGGGGGAAATGGGCATTTATTGAAACCTTAAAATTTGTACCGCCATAATATGCCGAAATAAAAAAATAAAAAAATAATTTAAAAAAACAAAAAAAATACATAGTCAAATTCAGAATATGCCAGTGCTGTAATAGAGATATGTAAATCACTTATATTTTTATAATAAAGGTTTAAAAACACATCTTTTAAAAATTATAATAGCTTTATTAACTTGTTAAGAGATATACAGTATAAAAAGATGTAAATTGTGACATCAAGAACATACAATGTGTGTGGGGGTATAAAAATGTAGATTTTTTTATGCTATCAAAGTTAAGTTGTTATCAGCTTAAAATAGCCTGTTATAAGATAATGTGTGTAAGTCCCAAAGTAACCACAAAGCAAAAACATATAGTAGATATACAAAAAATAAAAAGTAAGAAATCAAAGCATACCACTTGAAAGAATTATCTAACTACAAAGGAAGACAGCAAGAGGGGAAGAAAGGAATAAAGGATCGACAAAACAACTAAGAAACAATGAACAAAATGGCAGTAGTAAGTTCTCAATATCAATAGTTACCTTGAATATAAATGGCTTAAATTCTCCAATCAAAATACATAGAGTGACGGAATGGATAAGAAAAATAAGACCCAGATATATGTTGTTTACAAAAAACTCACTTCACATTTAAGGACACACATAGATTGAAAGTGAAAGCATGGAAAAAGATATTCCATGCAAATGGAGGTGGAAAGAGAACAGGGGTAGTTATACTTAGATAAAATAGACTTTAAATAAAAAACTGTAAAACAAAACAAAGTAGGTCATTATATAATGATAAAGAGACTAATTCATCTATAAAATATGACAATTATAAATATGTACACACAACATTGGAGAACCTAAAGATATAAAGCAAATACTAATAGGTCTGAAGAATGAGATAGATTATAATAAAATAATATTATAGTAAGGGACTTCAGTATGACACTTTCAATAATGCACAGATCATCCAGACAGAAAAGCAATAAGGAAGTATTAGACTTAAAGTATGCTATAGACCAAGTGAACCTAATAGATGTAATACAGAACATTCCATCCAACAGCAGCAAAATATACATTCTTCTCAAGCACACATGGGACAATCTCCAGGATAAATTATATATTAGGCCACAAAACAAGTCTTAACAAATTAAGGACATTGAAATCATGTCAAGTATCTTTCCCAACCACGATGGTATAAAACTAGAAATCAATACTAGGAGGAATTTCGGAAAAGTCACAAATACGTTGAAATTAAATAACATGTTCCTAAACGACCAATGAATTACAGAAGAAATTAAAAGGAAATTTTTTTTTAAATCTTGAGACAAATAAAAATGTAAACACAACATATCAAAACTTATGAGTTGTAGCAAAAGCACTTCTACTAGGGAAATTTATAGCAATAAACATGTACATTCAAAAAAGAAGAAGAGCTCCGGCTCCCGCCTTCGCCCGCTTCTGGTCGTCGTCGTCGCCGCTGCTGCCGCTGCTGCTGCTGCTGGGGCTGCTGGCGGAGGCCGGAGGATCGGGCGGTGGCGACGGCGGCTGAGAGGGCGGCGGCGGGAGCGGAGCAGGACGAGGGAGCGAGAGGAAGCGAGCGAGGAGCGAGCGGAGCGCGCCCTTCCGCCGGCCTGAGGAGCCGGAGCAGCCCGAGCCCCGCCGCCGCCGCTGCCGCCGCCTGCCTGCCCGCCGGACAAAGCCAAGAGCACGCGCCCAGAGCCATGTCCTCGTCCGCCAGCAGCGGCCACCAGCCCATCCAGAGCCGCGCCATCCCCACCCGCACCGTGCCCATCAGCGACTCCGCGCAGCTACCTCATGACTATTGCACCACGCCCGGGGCGACCCTCTTCTCCACCACACCAGGAGGAACTCGAATCATTTATGATCGAAAATTTCTGTTGGATCGTCGTAATTCTCCCATGGCTCAGACCCCGCCCTGCCATCTACCCAATATCCCAGGAGTCACTAGCCCTGGCACCTTAATTGAGGACTCCAAAGTAGAAGTAAACAATTTGAACAACTTGAACGATCATGACAGGAAGCATGCAGTTGGGGATGATGCTCAGTTTGAGATGGACATCTGACTCTCCTGCAAGGATTAGAAGAAAAGCAGCAACGCTGATACTTGTGTGTACCTGATTTGCCAATGGGATCAACAATGAAAAGAAGAGGCAATACCAGCAGTCCCGTTGTGGTCGCCACCTCCCTCGCGTGCCAAATGATGGAAGATGAGTGTCGTCTGACCAAATTCTTCTCCCTGTTTCCTGTTCCCATTCCTAGTTAGACAGACTAGATTGAAGGCCCTTGGTGTACTTCTGTAGAGCTAAGCAGCCCATAGAGGAAAACATTAAACTGTGGCTTCCCTGGTCATTTTTTATTGAGAACTAACCCCTTCAGATGTATCCCAGATCAAATATCAACCTACCAACAACTGCCTGGCTGGGAAGTCTGGGGGAGGGATACAGAGGTGTGTGGGTTCATCTTCATTCATGTTCCTTACCCTCTGTCTCTCCTCCTTGTATCCCACCTCTGGTTCAGCGCTGCGAGAGTCTGGTTTGGGATCTTTAAAATCATCAGGGAGAAATGATAAAAAGAGAGCTGCTTTCCCTTTTACCTGAGATGTTTGTCCTTAGGGATAGCACAGTTGGTGTAACTCCCGCAGCTTATCTTGTGACACTGTTTTGAGGTCCATTTCCCTTTGCTCTGGGAGGAATGTCTTCCCATTCCTTTCCTTTTAAACCCTTTACATCAGAAGGGAGCCCTTGGTAACCAGCTTTGGTCTTCTTCTGTCATTCCTCCCTGCTTGCATCTTGTTGCAGGGAGAGTCCTTTTGTACTTTGAGATATCTAGGTGATTTTGTCTGCTCCCAAAGCAGGTCCATACCAAGTAATAGAGGCACCGTGGCCTCCACTTGGTGCATTAGGCCTGATCATAGTATTCTGCCAGACAGTACTTAAAAATGACCTTGGAACAGTGTTGACCAATTTGAGTGCCCAGTCTCAGTAATTATTTTTAAGTCCATTGAGCATTGTGATATTTGTTCTTGGATTGCAGTTTCCTATGTTTTGAACTTAAAGTTGATTTTCAGAATGTTTCTAGAAAATAACTATTTTTTTTCCTTTATGGACCTGTTTTGTTTGGCTGCTGGGATAGATAAGCATGGGCTTTAAGATGTATTCCTCCCAGTTTTCTTGCCTTTCCCATTCTTTTCTTCCTGTCCTCCCCTGCTCCCTCCCTCTCTTCCTCTCTCCTTCCTTTCCTTTCTTTTTCTCTGCCAGGCCATTTTTCAAATTTACATCAAAGATACCTCAAGTGTTGGTATCTGATAATATCTGTCACTCCTCTTATCTGAGAAGTGACCTTTTATTTTTAAGATGACGACAGACCTATTTTTAGATACATTTTCAGTACAATTTTGAACAGCAACTTTTTAATGAAACATCTTCCAGTGTTAGGAAGGTAAGAAATGTCCATAGGTAAGTCTGCTGTTCTATGTTACCATCCTTTGTCTCCCTGAGTGCCTTGGGAGCTCTTTCCTTCCTCGTCTAGTTTTGGGTGTGCATGTTTGGAGTTTATGGCGGGTGGTTTATAAAGCTAGACCATTCTGCCTTGATATTGGTGTTCATGAAAGCCTAATTATTTTCCTTACCCCTTTGCTTTTGCGTTCCTTCTCCCCACCTCTCCTGGGACTATTGACTGGCACGATAATCTCAGGAGAGTGACTCACCCCATAGAAAGACTAAAGTATCCATTCCCTCATAGAAAGAAAAATAAAGTAGTCCCTAGTGTCCTGGGAATTTTCTAGTAGGGTTTGGTGCCTTGAACGCTCTTATTAAGCAATCAGATCCCAGGGTGAGAGTAACAGGCCAATTGGCTAAGAAAGAAAACTGTTTTTCTTTTGAACTATGAAAAGACCCTGTTTGTGAATACATTTAGAAAGAAGAGAGGAAGGATGTCTCCAGAACTTTGTTCTGTTTTTTTGCTACAAAATATGAATAGTTCAAAGTGAAAACCTTTTGTGATGGTTGATGTCTCTCAGGAATAAGCTGGATCTCCAATGTTTTGGGGATGCTCTGAGTCTCAAAAATTGATAATCAGAAAAGTATTTTTGTTTGTTTGTTTAATGTAACCCTGTTCTATTTTAATTAAACTCCAAATTTCGTCTCAAAAAAAAAAAAAAGAAGGAACACAAATAAACAACCTAATGCATACCCAAAAGAACCAGAAAAGGAACAAACTAAGCTCAGAGTTAGCAGAAGAAAGGAAATAAAATTCAGAGCAAAACTAAATGAAATAGAGATTAGAAAAATAATATAAAGATCAATGAAACTAAGAGTTGGTTTTTGAAAATATAAACAAAATGAACTAACCTTTAGCTAGATTAAGAAAGAGAGAAGGCTACAATAAATAAAATCAGAAATAAAAGTGTAACATTACAACTGATAACACAGAAATACAAAGAATTTAAAATAGCTACAAAAAATAAAATGCTTAGGAATATACTTAACTAAGGAGCTAAAAGATCTATACACTGAGAAGTATAAAATATTGATGAAAGAAGTTGAAGACACAGATAAATGGAAATATATTCTGTGTTCTTGCATTGGAAGAATTAATATTGTAAAAATGACCGCACTACCTAAAGTGATCTACAAATTCAATGCAATCCCTATCAAAATTCCAATGTTATTCTTCACAGAAATATAAAAACATCCTAAAATTTGTATGAAACCACAAAAGACTCCAAATAGGCAAAGCAATCTTGAGCAAAAAGGACAAAGCTAGAGACAGGACATTGCCTGATTTCAAAATATACTATAAAGCTGTAGTAACCAAAACAGTATGGTACTGACATAAAAACAAATAGACCAATGAAACAGAATAGAGAATCCAGAAATAAATCTATGCATTCATTTACAGTCAATTGATTTTTTTTTTTTGAGACAGAGTCTCACTTTGTTGCCCAGGCTAGAGTGAGTGTGTGGTGTCATCCTAGCTCACAGCAACCTCAAACTCCTGGGCTCAATCAATCCTGCTGCCTCAGCCTCCCGAGTAGCTGGGACTACAGGCATGTGCCACCATGCCCGGCCAATTTTTTCTACATATATATTAGTTGGCCAATTAATTTCTTTCTATTTTTATAATAGAGACAGGGTCTCACTCTTTCTCAGGCTGGTTTCGAACTCCTGACCTCAAGCAAGCCGCCCACCTCGGCCTCCCAGAGTGCTAGGATTACAGGTGTGAGCCACCTCACCCAGCCAGTCAGTCAATTGATTTACAACAAAAATGTAAAGAACATATAATGGGGAAAGGACAATCCCTCCATAAATGGTGCTAGGAAAACTGGATACTCAAAAAAAAAAAATTACTTTAGACCCTCATCTCATACCATATACAAAAATCAACCCAAAATTAATTAAAGACTTAAACCTAAGACCCGAAACTGTAAAGCTACTAGAATAAGCCATAGGCAAAAAGTTCCATGATATTGGTCTGGGCAAAGATTTTTTGGATATGATACCAAAAGCAAAGGCAACAAAAGCAAAATAGACAACTGGAATTACATCAAACTAAAAAGCTGTACAGCAAAGGAAACAATCAACCGAGTAAGGAGACAACCTGTGTAATGGGAGAATATGTTTGCAAACCATACATCTAATAAGGGGTCAATATCTAAAATATATAAGGAACTCAACCCAATAGCAAAAAAACAAATATTCCACTTTAAAAATGAGCAAAGGCTCTAAATAGACATTTTTCAAAAGAAGATATAAAAATGGCCAACAGGTATATTAAAAAATGCTCAACATCACTAACCATCAGAAAAATGCAAATTTAAACCACAATGAGATATTACCTCACATCTGTTAAAATGGCTATTATCAAAAAGACAAAAGGTAACAAGTCTTAGGATGGGGAGAAAAGGGAACCCTTGTATACCATTGGTGAAAATGTAAATTATTATAGCCATATGGAAAACAGTGTGGAGATGCTTCAAAAAATTAAAAATAGAACTACTATATGATCCAGTAATCCCACTATCGTGGACATATCCAAAAGATACAAAATAAATATGTCAAAGAGATATCTGTATTCCCATGTTCAATTCAGCGCTATTCACAATAGCTAAGATATGAAATCAACCTATTTGTCCACCAATGGATGAATAAAGAAAGAAAATATGGTATAGACACACAATGGAATGCTATTCAGCCTTAAAAAAGGAAAAAGAAAATTCTGTCATTTACAAGAATATGGGTGAACCTGTATGACATTATGTTAAGTGAAATAAACTAGGTACAGAAAGACAAATACAACTTGATATCACTTATATGTGAAATCTTAAAAAGTGGAGCCCATAGAGAATAAAATGGTGGTTACCAGAGACTGGGGGAGGGGCATTGGGGAGATGTTAGTTAAAGGACACACAATTCCAGTTAGACAAGAGGAATTAATTCAAGAGGTCTGTTGTATAACATGGTGACTAGTTAATAATAATTCACTGTATACTTGAAAATTGCTATAAGAGTAGATTTCAAGTGTTCTTACCACCAAAAATGCTAAGTATGTGAGTAAACGCCTATGTTAAATAGCTTGATTTAGCCATTCCATTATACACATACACACACACACACACACACACACACACACACATATGTATCAAAACATCATGATATATATGATAAATATATATTATTTTTCCTGTCAATTAAAAAATAAATTTAGGCACCCTGGGAGTCAGAGGTGGGAGAATCACTCGAGGTCAGGAATTTGAGACCAGTCTGAGCAAGAGCAAGACCCAATCTCTACTAAAAATAGGAAGAAATTAGCTGGACAACCCAAAAACATATAGAAAAAATTAGCCAGGTATGGCGACGCATGCCTATAGTCCCAGCTGCCCAGGAGGCTGAGGCAGAAGAATTGCTTAATCCCAGGAGTTTGAGGTTGCTGTGAGCTAGGCTGATGCTCTCTACCCCGGGTGACAGAGTGAGACTCTGTCTCTAAATAAATAAATAAATAAATAAATTTAAAGAAAGATTGGAGAATCAGCCATTCTAGTAATTAAGTGTGATGGAGGTTACATTCCAATGAATTGAGATAACTAATATGTAAGTTATAATAAACCAAATAGTATGAGGTTAAAAAAAACAATGAGATGCTACTATATACACCAGAATGGCTAAAATTAAAAATACTGACCATACCAAGTGTTTGTAAGATGTGGAAGAACCAGAACTCTCATACATTTCTGCTCAGGATGGAAATTTATGAAAATACTTTGGGAAAATATTTGGCAGTATCTAAGGCTGAAGATATGCATACCCTATTGACTCAGGAAATCCACTCCTAGTTACATACAAGTTATAGATTGAATCATGTCCTCTACCTCCCATTCATATGTTGAAGCCCTAACCCTAGTACCTCAGAATGTGACTACATTTGGAGAATAGGATCCTTAAAGAAATTATTAAGTTGAAATAAGGTTGTGAGAATGAGTCTTAATATGACTAGTGTCCTTAAAAGAGGAGGAAATTTGTATGCACAGACACACCAGGGATGCATGTTAACAGAGGAAACACCATGTGAAGTCATAGAGAGAAGGCAACCATTGTGAGACAAAGAGAGGCCTCAGAAGCAACCAAACCTGCCAATATCTTCAGAACTGTTAGAAAACATATTTCTGTCATTTAAGGCACCCAGACTGGTATTTTTTTTATGACAGCCCTATCAAACTAAGACAATACCCTAAAGAAGTGTGTACCTATTTTACAAAAGACATGTAATTATTCAATCCATGTGGAGTGTCAAAAGGCAACATTACAATGAATTTAAAGATCTTAGTTGGATTTTATTCATGATTCTAGAATCAGGCAGCCCTCAGTACCAGAATAGGTTCAAAAAACACTGGCCAGCAATGTGGTCAGGCAGTATTTATGGACAGAAAATGGAAGTGAGGTATAGAGACAATTGATTACAGCTTGGTGCTTTGCCTTATTTGAATCTGTTAGCCACCTGCAGTAGACTGAAGCTCAGCTTCTGTAATCAGCTGAAACTCAGTTGTTTGTTAAAAAAGTATATTACTAAGTCAGGCTGCAGTAATTATGTAAGGACTCCAGTAAAAAGCCTCTTCAGGCCAAATTTAGATTAATTTAACAGGAGTGTACTC